AAATAGAAATTGATACTATAAAAAATTTATTCGTTTTCGTGTTCTTTTCATGTATTTAGCATTTTAGTTTTTTTTTTTCTTAAGCGTTGTAGCTATATAATTTCAAACATCCTCAAGAGCTATAACACATCTGCAGCAGAACTGGATATGAAGACAAAATTGTAAGCTAGGAACACTTTAATTGTCCACTAATCTTCAGATTTCCTGCTATGTTTTAAAAAACTTTATTTGTGAAAACCTTCAGAGTGGCGGACAGCTGGCCGCCTTAGGTGGCTAGTGATTTAATAAATAGAGAACTTGTTTTCAAATAATTCATTTTAGGTTAACGTGGAGATGAGAGGCAGTCGAATCTGATTCCAAGACTCATAAATCTCAATTCAATTTTTAGATAACTTTTGTAACCGATTGACTATTTTTTAAAGTATTAACCTATTTTATTGTAAATGCATATGGGTCGTTTACAAATGTCAAGCTTGAAAGGGGAAAGGATGTCATCACACATTTTAATTAAAATGAAAAACTTTAGGATTAAAACACTAAATTTTTTTAAAAAATAATATTACATTTATTCTAAAGATAGAAATAACAATTTTGTTTCATATTCTGATTTATTTTATTTTGTATCATAAATCATTGATGGCGATTAAGTTTTAAATTAAGTTCTAATTAAAAATAGTAAATTTAACAGGAAATGTATTTGGCTTTTAAGCTTTTTTTTTTTCAGAAAAAAATTATTTATTATAAATTTTTAAGAAATTCGAACTTTCTTAAAATTTATATTGAAAGAAATAAACGAATGTTTTTATTCTTAAAAATCTTAATCTTATTTCATATAAAATAAGTACAATAATTGTTAATCCCACGAATACCACTGACTCAGATACTTAAAAGCTTGAAAATAAAACTTAAAATATGATGTTCCTGAACTGGAAATATATGTTTATGCTGTATAACGTGATAAGTTGCGTGAGCAAGTGCAAAACTATGTGATGAAAAGGAGGAGACAAAAATAGTGTGGCCTCATTTATGTGCAGCCCCATATATAATTTTTTTTTTTTAGTTCTAAATTTAATCTTATTAAATTATGTAATTTAATATTATTAAATTATGTAAAATACTTACCAATGACAATTAACTCATAAGGTTTGAACCCTGTTGTATTGTATATGGTGGGAATATCATTAACATCAGCTCCTCGCACCATTTTTGCAGATGATTCCTTAAAAAAATTAATTAAAATCTTTAAGTACATTTTTGATATTTTTGCAACTTAATAAAAAATTGTTAACTTGTAAAATGTAAGATTAAACATTTCTTTTGTTCTAATATGCATTTTTTATGCAATTATAACTTAAAAATATTGAACCATCAATCTTTTATGATTTAAAATAAATTATTTTATCAATTCATTATTTGTTTTAAAATTTAATAAAAAGTAATATTTATATCCAGTTGATTTTTAATGTCAACTTGAAATCGTTCAGTTGCTAATTAAAATGTTATAAAATTTATTCAAAATTCTATAATTGAATATTGTGATCTAAGTGAATGCTAATAATTCTGACAAGGGAGTTTCACAAATTTTTATAAACTTTATATAAATTAAAACTATAAATAATTTATTCAAACTATTTATGCTCAATAAATCTTTCATTCTTAAGAGAAAATAGGAAACAGAAAACGATATTTTATGTAATAAATTTTATAAATATTTTCATAGAATATTTGCGCAGAAATAGTTGCATAAAATTTGAATCCAAATTTTAATACATTTTTATCACTTGATGCGACAGAAAATGAAAAAATTAAGTTCTTCAGAAAAAAAAAGTATTTTACAGACATTTTTAGTTTGCAATTTTTCGTTTGTAAATGGTTTTAAGCAAGCGATTTTGAAAAAGACAAAAAAATAATATCTTCTGTCTTTTATTTATAGAAAAATTAAAAGATTTATATTTAGTACTGTTAATTTTTCTGGATTAATCAGAAGAACTCTAGAACAATTAAGCACACTTTACTAACGATAAAAGACTGAAGACAAAATTGTTGGCAATAAATAATTAAGGTAATAGTAAGAACCTAATTATCTTTATGGACATTTCAGAAAATGAAAAGTGACAATTTTTAATTGCCAAAGTAGCCATCTTTCTAGTACTGAAGCAATATAGGATCAGGTAAGTAATACACTATATAGATATAATGAATAGCAAATAATATACTTAGAAAAAATTTATTAAAATATTCTACCGTTTTCTTAGATTTTTATTTTAGAGCTGATTTAAATTTTTTCAAAAATATATTTACCAGTTATGATATCCCTAGAAAACTTACCTAGTTACTTTTCATTAAAAAAATTAAGTCTTATTGCATCGTGTAAGAATAATAAATTTGTAAGAAAAAATAAAGAGATTAAAAGAAGCTTTTATTAATTGTATAAAAAAAATTCCAGATTTATCTAAAAGCATTTTCTTTTTTAGAATCAAATAAAACTTACTTCTTGAATCTTATTCACAAGCTTGTCGGCATATTCTCCATACATAAGATGTTTCGATAAATTACAAGATATTGATTGAGATATTTTGTCCAAATTTTGAATCCTGTCATTGTTGGTACTCCAGAATTGTTCCAATTGCTCCCATGTTCTTTCTCCGGAATTTGAATCAATGAATTGTTCTTCCGCGTTGTTCACTACACATACTGGTTCGTAGCGTGCCATAAGCAGAATATATCGTTTGGATATTGATTAGTCTTATTAGTTCAACAGTTCTAGAGTGAAGGTTAAAAATCAAAGAGGCTTATCCTTTTTATATAGGATGCGGTTGGGTTACGCAAGGATCCTTATCTCAATGGGGATGGGCAAGATGTGTATGCTTTTTACGTCAAGGAATTAGCTCATCAGGCATTAACGTATTTTAGACGCAATCACTTGAACCTACGATAAGCCGATGTGTTCTATGATAGCTTAGATTTGGTTTTACGTTCCGCTTTATTTATTTATTTATTTAAATTTCAATGAAAGAAATTATTCAGAATAAGTTAACATCTATTTTACACCAATTTTTTAAACTAAATTATCTTAAAATTTTTCAATCGCATTAAAAAAAATTGGGAGGCTGCAATGAGAATCGATCTTAATTTTTATATCAACTGATAATGATTTAATCATTCCATAGTGCAATAAGAAAAATTAAATAATAAGGTCTCCAAACTATTTAAGATTTTTAAAGTGCATGCCCAATATTTTCGCCATTAAAGTACTCTGCAAGCTTTGATCACTTTGTCTTGTTTATTTCAATTCAATTTCAGCAGGTTTTTTACTTTCTTTGAGGAAAAAAACTTTTTTTTTTCTCCTCCGGAACTACAGTCCGTGACAAGACAAGGCCGTCTCAATAAGTTTTCGCCATCATGCCCTGTTAGTCATCATTGTCCTCCGTCTTCAAGCCACCGATCACTTGGAAATCTTTTTTAATGCTGTCTAGCCACTTTTCGATTTCCCGTAAAAGTCACTTTCTTGATTGGTTTGTGGCGTAAGTAGCACTATAAATGTTAAATACCAATTCCCTAGTATATAAGACATGTTAACTTATTTCTATCTAGAGGTACCTTATGATAGAAGACGGTTAACATAGTCTATAAATAAATCACTCAGGTTCGTTCTGATCCAATCTGTAGAAGTGATTTAGCCATTTTAGTGCGAATAGCTTTAATGACATGGGCGATATCTGGCTGCTGTAACAATTTCTTGTAAATCCCGAAATTGCAAGTTGCTCCTCTTGTTATCGTTTTAGCATCAAAATTCTCATGATTTTCCTTTCGAACACTATCAATTTGTTTTTTTTTTCCGATTTAGGGAGAACCCCATTGTCACTCCCTTATTTTAATACTGCTCATAAAAGGGTTTTATAGATATTTATTTTTGTAATTTGACCAAGAAGTCGACTTTTGGCTTTTTAATTCAAAGAAGCATTTATTCGCCATAGACAAACGGCTATTGTTTTCAGTTTCGATGTCATTGTTTCTAGTTAAGACGCTTCCTTGAACTCTTCCACCGCTTCAAATGAATAATCATTAACTAGGAATGGAGAAGAATATAAGCGTTTATTCTTTATCTCCATATAGTATTTGTTTTTACCTGCATTGATGCTTCAAGAGAGTTAAAGACCTCAATAACAGCTCGTTCAAATCTGCCTTCCCATTATATCAATGTCGTCGGCGTATGTCAAAATCTAAATTATTTTTTTTTCCACTATATTTAAATTACCCACTTCTTCAATTTTTAAATAAATTACGCTCTGAATCAGTATCTCTACATTTTATAATTTTTAATGTTATAGTTTTAATGATTTTACACAGTTTATTGGAAAAGCTTATTACCAATGCTTAAACAGTCATAAAATTTCTTACGTTATTAGTTACGTAGGCTTTTAAAATTATATTTGGCTGCAGGGAGGGGGTTCATATTGACCATTTGAGGTCAGCGTCTGGTTATCGGACTACAGCTTGTGCATCACTGATCTAGCTATTACTTCTATACATTTTTTCTGCATTATTTCGTTTAAATAATTATCTCTCCAGGAAATGTATTTTTAAAAGTAATAGAATTCAGTCAAATTACTTAAATTTAATCAATTTTTCTTCAACATTACGGGTTATAAAATAGAACATACTAATCGAATTACTTGTTCGTAAATTGAAGATTACACAGGGGAACGAGTTTTTAGAGGCATTTATACGAATACTTGATCTTGCCTAATACGGATGTGGGGATTTCAAATCTGAAATTAGTTTTACTCTTAAAGCTATAAATGTTTTTAATAACATTTCTCAACCTTTTTCTTAAAGAAATGTACAAAAGTTTAAAAACGTTATATATAACAAAGGGTCGCATAAATGTTGCGACTAACTTCCAAGGAAGTGAGGGAGCATCATAAAGAATAAAACTGTATAGGAACTTATGCCTAGAAATGCAATTATACCCGCCTAGGGGTGCTTCCCTATTAAACCTACTCAGAAGCACACAAAGAAACAGTTCATAATAAGAAAGCGCCCCTAGTGGCGGATGATGAAATTTCCAAGCATGTGTTCCTACGAAATTTTAATCCTGATGATGTGCTGTAACTCCCTTAGAAGTTTGTTGCAGCATACTCTCCCCCTGTTGCATATAAAGTTTTTAAACTTGTACATTTACGTAAAAAAATAGACTAAAAATGTAATTCGTAAAATCAGCGATTATGAAAGTATTTATAATCTGGTAAAAATATCATGCAAAATTTTTTTTTTACCATTGTTATAACTCTACTGTATCTTGCTACTTGTAAATAAGCCTATAAACTCCGCTTTGTAAAAATATTTGTATGTTTTAACAATTATTTTTATAAATTTTAATTCAAATTTTCATACTTACTTTAGTCCCGCAGTGGACTGATCGTTAAGAGACGGTTCCCAGAAGATCACCGAAGTCAAGCATCACTGGCTGCGGTCAGTGTGCGGGTTGGTGATCACTTGGATCAGCCTGCGTAGGGACCGAGGGTGTGCGGTATTGGTCATCGTTAAACTGTTGTACCGTTAAGTGCTCGACTTCGCGTGCAGGTCGTCGGGCTACCGAAGCGGGGATGCCATCCCCTCCGCAGAGGATCAAAATTGAGATGGCATGACTTCGGATCATCCTCAGGGATGTTTCCCAGACCGTCGCCAATAGCCCATTGTGCAGCTCTAGTGCGACGCAAATGAACAACAACAACAACATACTTACTTCATTTTATTTTTATTGTTGTGCTTCTAATCCTTTCCTTTTTGAACAATAATAATAATAATTATACTCATTAAAATTAGGATATAAAATATTATGAATTTATTAAATTCCATCAGAATTTCTACTACGTTAACGATCATAATATTGCATTATACAGGCACTAACTTGCTTGTTAACTGAAAGCTCAAAATCTCTGTTTCACAGCGACAAATCTTTACATGTTTTAACATTTAATTTTTACACTTTTCATGCGAATTTCCATATTTCTTTCTTTTTTTTGCATTTTTTTTATTGCAATGCTTTCAATTGTTTTCATTTTAAACGAGAGCAATAAATACTAATTGAAATTTTAGGAACAAATATTTGAGTATTTTATCAAAACTGAAATTGTATTAATCGATTCAGACTTGTAAATAAAAACGAGTTTTTTAGAGAAGTGTTAAGCAAAGTTATGATAACTTTTTTTTGGGGGGGGGGTTGTGTTTTGATGTTAATATCTTCCAAAATTACTTATTACCAAAATAATTGGGCCGGGATGGCCTGGTTGCCAGGACACTGGACTCACGTTCATGAGAACAGGAGCCCAGCGAATTCAGCAGAGAGTGCGAATCCAGCTGGCCGAAGACTCCATGTATAGTAAATGGTGACTGGTGTGCGTTAAATCTGTCGGGTCACAAAGTCCTCCATGTCCCTATAGCAAATTATACCTCTGGGGGTACTGAATTGGAGATTGATCGTTCTCTGGTTCAGGTCAAAATTGCGATCTGTGGATGAATGAGTGGATGTATAATTGGGCCCGCCCTATAAACTGGTATGGCGTATGTATGAGGCAGAAGTCGAATTCTTGGCCATAGATGGCGCCACTGGAAAACAAAGACATTCGCCCCAACTCTGCTTTAATGGCCGACGACAACAACAACAACAACCAAAATAATTATATCAAAAAATTTTAAGATCTAGAGGGGATGACAGAAATGCAGCATCAGTGAAACTTCAAACTATTTTTCTGGTTTGCAAGTTGGAATTGTGCTTTATAAGGATTTTATTTTAACTGACGTTACTCCGTTATTTCCAATCGTGATAAAAATAATGATTTCTCAATATTATCATTAAATATCATTTTTATATAGGTCATTCTACAGAAAACCTGCAATTTGAATGATTAGATTTTCCATTTTAAAATATTAAGATTAATTTTTCATGAAGTTCAGTTTGTGATGACTCATGATAATCGTTTCACGTAACAGTTCTATGATATGAATTTAATAATGGACAGAAGTAAGGTTTGTGTCCACATTGTTGAAAATAATATTATGAGTTATATTTTAGGTTTGTGCTATTTACAGCATTTGTATAATAATGTTATACAAATGCTGTAAATAGCACAAACCTAATGTTTTTATAATAATGTAATTTGTATATAATAATTCATTTAACTTGATATGCTGAATAAATATTAACTTTTTAAATTGTTAATTTTATTGTAGTCGCAGAAGTAATGGCAAATTGAAAAGGAATATAAATAACAAGCAGTTACACAAGAGATTCTAAAATTATTCGTCACCACATCCTAATTCCAAATAAAACACACGTATTTATCTTCTCTGCTCCATACTATTCTTTTTTTCTCTAATATGTTAACCGAAGTGATCTATAACCTTGTGATAAGATTTATTTTCGAAAAATATTTACAGTGATAATTAACCTTTTGGTGAATTAAATTTTTTTTAATGAAAATGCACATACCTAGCTTGTCTATGTATGTAGTATAATATAGCAGTTAAAATAAATGAAATAGTGCAACTCTGGTTCATGGCAATCGAGAAATTTTTCAATTGATTACTCTTTTTAACTTCGGAATTTTTTTTTTTTTTTTTAAAAAGAAACTCAATTTTATTTTTGCATCGAAAATGAAGAAATGATAAATAATAGTTTTCGCTTTGTAGTCACAAAACTTGGAGTTAAGATTTTCTATGGTGCGACCTTTATTTCAATTTTTACAAAAATTAAGCTCTTTCAAAAGTAAAATTTTCTTGAATTC